ATTTCTCAGGACGCAAACAAGGAAGTTCACTTCCTTGAGCTGAACAAGGAAGTCACTCAGTAGTTCCTCTTGTCGCCCCAGGAAAACTCCAACTCACTTCTCCTGGGGGACAGCAGAGGAGCTAGCAGGACATCAACACAGTCCTGCTTTATAAGCAACTTGAATCTATTTATAGTTTTGGAAGAATGACAAAAATCTATTTTTTTCATACACAGTGTGTCACCATAACACAGCCCTTCAGCTTACCAAGCAAATAGACTTAAAACTCTCTTGGCAGTGGCAACTCAGTGGTTCTTATTAGGCTGACAAAGGAACGACATGGCAGGTGTAAGTTGTCAAGTCAAGAAAACACGGATGCATGTGGTAAAACACATACTTAAGTCCTGCCCTAAGTCGTGATGGTTTGTTTTTCTTGAAGTGAGGACTTATTGCTGAATCATTAATTATTGGTACTCAATACAGTAGACTTCTAATAATCCGGCACGTTTGGGACTTAGGTGGTGCTGGATTATCGGATATACCGGAGTCCCAAGAGGTACTATAAGGGGGCATACTCCCAACTCAATCCCTCCTCCCCACCTTATGCTCGGGTCCCAGAGCCACCGGTACAGCCACGCATCTCCCTCCAGGTGCTGAGGCATGTGCGCTGAGTGGCCAGCTTTTCAATGAGCTGGCCGGGATGCCGTGTGCAACCCAGTCCCCCTCCCCTCTCCTTACCTTCCCCAGAGCCAAACACCTCCCCTCCCTCCTGTCATCCAATCCCCCTTCTCCTCCAGTCTTATGTCCGTGTCCTGAAGCAGCTGCCTGTGCTCAGTGGCCGGCTGCTAGCACATGCAGGCTAGATGCTCTGTGCGCTGGGGACCATGAGTGGAACGGCGCGAGCCATGATAGCGCATGTGGCTCACAGCAGCTCGGCCGTGAGAGTGGCTGACCTGAGCAGTTCCGGGTTCCAGTTAATGCCGGACTATCAGGAGTGCCGGACAACTGGATGCCAGACTATTGGAGTTTTACTGTAATTAAATACATGCATACATTGCATGCTGCTTGGCCAAAACCCATCAGATGACAAGTACCTTGATGAGCATTAATTTCAGTGGGAGTTGCATGTGCACTGAGCCTTTCAGAATTTGGTCCAACTGGAGCTGAGGGCGCTCACCCCTGCAGAGATTGTGCTGAACATCTTACAGCCTGGGTGTCTTGTGATCTAAATGCAGCTTGGCAAGAAAGGCCAGAGTGCAGGCAGTACTTTCTTTGCAGGTGATGAACCAGGCCTGCTTTTCCTGGTAAAGGAGACAGCTAGAGTTGAGGTGCCTTGGTTTTGGTCACCAGAACAGTGATTGTGCTACAGTCATCTATCATAATTGTACAGATGGTATTTTTTCCCTTTAATTGATTCTAATAAAATCAGTGCTCTGTCCTACCACAACTATACTATGGTTTCGAGGTATCTAGCCCTGGGGATTAGAGTGGAAAAAGTTCTCTTTTTAATTTGCTTTTTAAAACCTCATATCACTGATATGACAAACAAACAATAATAAATAAGAGAACCATATTTCACAGTTGATAGCTTTCATAAATTTTTAAGGAATGCGTCAAAGAAATTGCTGAAACAAAGCTATCATGGATGCTGTATGATGAGCAGATCTAAGAGACACTTTAATATTTAACAAGACCAAAAGCCTTTAACAACTAATCATCTTTTACTGGCACTTGCCCTTTGGCCTGGCAAGTGACTGTGTTTCTAAGGGATTAACATTTTTTACTTTCTAATGAATTATCATTCAACAGTAAATATATATGGCAGGATGGAACTGTTTGCTCATTAGTTTAGTTCAGGAAGCAGGATCTTTGTTCATATATCTTTATTTTAATAATACTTTATTTAAAACAATACTTCCTATTCTTTAATAGTGCCTTTTCAGCCACAAATTATTCATATTAATTAATCGAGCTTTACAACATCCTTGTGCTATCAGATGGGTATGCAGTGACTTCACATAAATGGGCCTTGATTCTGCAGAGCTTAGGCCTTGTCTACACTAAACAGTTTGGTCAACAAAAATCAGCTTTCCCCAACAAAACCATGGTGGAACACACCCTGCAATGTTTCTCCCACCGATTTAACTTTCCTACTATGCTGACATAATAAAACCACCTTAACAAATGACATAAAAATTTTTGCAACTAAGTTAGAGCAACGCAGGGTTAATGTAGACACTGCACTTGCTTATGTTGCCCTAACTGTTTACCAGGAGGTGTCTCACAATTCCCACTCTGGTCAGCACAGTGGAGCAGTTTCACCTCTGCCTCATAAATGTCATGAGGAGCACTGCAGACTCTATGACCATAGAAATACTTTTCTTAGTGAGGTCTAACCTGCCCAAAAGGCAGCACCAGCAAGCCCTTAATTTTCTAAATGCACTTTCAGTGGTCATTCTGCACCTGCTGAGTCTGTTGTTGAAAAACTTCATGCTACTGCCAGAGTTTCCAGTCTAAGTCTTCAAGAGCTGTGGGAATAAGGAGTAGGCTGCGTCTCCCAGGATTTTCATGGACACTTCCACAAGTCCTGTTGGAATTTTCTGGTCTAGAATAAAAGTCCCTGCATACATGCAGCTTTCTGTATAGGCCCGTGTTTCTGAAGATGGAAATGTCATGCACCTTCTCTGACTACCTTCTGTTGATGTCAGTGGAATGATCCGGTGCACCAGTGGTTGCAGTACTATTGAGAAGTAGCCCCTTCTGTTCATGTACTCTGTCTCAAGAGTATATCTTGCGATAGGTGTGGGGCCAAAATTGGGATATATATGCCATCTATCACCACACTGCAGTTAGGGATTCCTCTTACTATTCACTGTCCATTGTCCAGAATCATAGTCCTTCATAGCAGGAGGCAATTAACAGCCCTGCACACTTGCATCACTGCAGAGATAGTGAGTGCAAAGTTTATACAGGAAATTGAAAATGGCATACCACATAGAAGCCCATGGACTAATGGAATAGAAAAAGCTACATTATTGGGTGGTGAGCTCATCCCTATAATGCCCTGTGATCCATTCCCAGAATACCTAGTGTCAGAAGATGGTGATTTGCACAGTGCAATAGCTACTCACAGTGCTGTGCTCCATCTGTGCTAAAGCACCAACTGTGCACACACTCTGCCAACACAAGGAGCATTGTGTGAACATGCACAAGTGATGTAATGATAGCAGTTTATCAGTGATGACAAAACTTATGTCAACTCACGTCAACCTGTAGTATAGTCATGGCCTTAGGCACATGTTTGAAGTTCAACAGTCTTAAGCCACATTGAAGTCAGAGGGAGTTAGATCCCAATTTAGGTCCCTGTGCACATAGTCCATCATGAAATACCCAGGAATAGAATTCAGTCCTGACTTCCAGTCTCCGTATCTACCTACTAGACTTCACTCTCTTCCATATTATCTAGATTCAGGTGCAGCAAAAAAGTGCCTAGAAATAAGACATACCTATATAGGTTGTGACACTTGTATGTATTTTTATGGAAACAACAGTGATCTGAGTCTATTAAGGCAGTGTATGCAGCATGATTGTACTAACAATGATGACTGTATTTTTGATATGCTACACTAATGCTGAAGCACTGACAAATATATGGGAAAATATTTTCCGATTGCTTTAGAAGTAATCTGAACCCTGACTGAACTTTTATTAGTCTCTGCTATCATTTGCTCTTTTGACATCAGAACAAGGAAAATATCATTTATAACAACTTATGTAAAGTCCCAAGTAAGAGGAATGATCTTTTCAAAGAATGGAATCTTAAAAAGTGAAAAGTGTGTTCTGATTTCATAAATTAAATAAATTTATGGTTTCATAAATTAAATTATTGGACAGGAAAACACGTATTAATCAAAAATTATATATCCTTTAGAAAGAAAATATTCTTTCAGAGATAATCAGAATGCCATAAAATGGTCATACAGAACGGGCAATTTAACAAGTGATCCATCTCCCAGTTTCTAGCAGAGAGTGCCAACTCATAGTAGTTCAGTAGATCGCATTTTTAAAGATACATGTGTAGATTTGTTAATTTGTATAATCCAGTTGGAATGACATATCCAGAGGCAATAAATCAATTGAAAAATGGAAATATATTTTTAAAATAATTAAGCTTAGTTATTTATGCAATTTGAGAATCACAATTATTTATACATTTTGACATTCTAATCTTGACACATAATTCAACTTAAAATTCACTTTTCTCAAAGGCTAATTGACAGGAATCTCTAGAATATTTATGAAAAATTAATTTGCCACAATGCTAAAGCTTATTCACTGGAATGTCTGTGAACTATAAACACCGGAAGGCCATGAATATAGTCAAGACCAATATATGAAAAAAATGCTGATTTTCATAGGTGAATATTAATTCTCCTCTCCCAGTTCACTTTCAGTTCTTCAGAGGAGGAGGGGAGAAGTCTTTTGGGCCAGGCATGGAATTGGGAATTAAGAGATAAATTACCTTGGCTCTGCTTCTACATATCGACAGACTGCTGTGGAGCTCACTTGAAGTCAATGCGGGTTTGATCTGGGGCAGGGCAATGTCTGCACAGAACTCATGATGTGATACCTTAGTCCATGTGGTAAAGTGAGGATAAAAATACTAACCTGTCTCACAGGGTGTTGTTGGATTGTGTTCATTAATGACTCTGAAGTCCCTGCGACAGAAGGCATTAAATAAATCTAAAAAAACAGTATATAATTCAGAAACAATTTCTTTGAAGGTACCATATGATGGAGAAATTGATCTTGGTAGTGATTGCCATCGACTTGCATTGATTGAGAGATGAATTTATGATCGTAGGCAGAAGTATCTTGCTAATCTGTTCTTACAAGCTCTTTAAAGTTAATGGGCACTAATCAAAAATATCAATATCCACTCATCCATTTTGACATCCATTATGCACTTCTTCCCCAGGAACCCATCCGAATTCTTTTAAACAAGTTTTTTTTTCCATTAGGTGGGTGGTCACACCATGTTACCCATTCGTTGGATGCCTCCTGAGAGTATCATGTACAGGAAGTTCACCACGGAAAGTGATGTTTGGAGCTTGGGAGTTGTTTTATGGGAAATCTTCACCTATGGCAAACAGCCGTGGTATCAGCTCTCAAACAATGAGGTGTGTATTAGGCTCTGTGGATAATAAAATGTGCTTGAGATGGTGGAATTTAAATAAAGATATGGATGCCACCAGGGAATCATCTCCTGATTGGAAAGGATAACACACAAGCTGCCATGTTATTTGCAATAAAAAATCACTATACTCTTGCCAACACTTATGATATCACAAGTGTCATAGTTGGGGTCCACTTTTCTTGGGGTTTTTAATTTTTCCTGCTAAGAAAGAAGGTTGTTATCTAAGCTGAATACAAGAAAGTTGTGGGCTAGGTTGGAACCTTCCAGGAGTATGGAGAAAAAAACTCAGGTGACAAGGTGTAGCAGTCTTGCTAAGGAGAGGGGCTGGAGTACATCTTTAGTACAGATAGTCAGCAGTGTGGGGACATGACTCAAGAACAATGCTGCTGTCCCATCGCAATCTATAACAAATTAAGGAAATTGGAAGTCCTTTGCAGCCCAGGAAAACGCCAACAGGGATGAACCCTTGCATCCCCTGTGATGCCTCTGTGAGAATGTGGGAGTGGATAGTTCTGAGTGAGAAAGGGGCATGCAGCGTGAGATATGGAGTATGTATGACACCTCCTACCACAATTGCCAATACTTAGGGTACTTGTGCTCAGTTGCAGTAGAGGCTTTTGTGGGTTCTACAGGTGAACTGAAGCCCTCAGAATGAGTTAACCTTTTAAGTAGGCCGGCCCCTTCAAGTTAGGATTTGGGGACACTGATGGAACAGATCTGGGAAACATATCCCATTGTTGCCCATGAGTTCAGTAGACAGAGAATTTCAGCCAATTTAGCCCCTTTCTTAAGAAATTCATACTGAGTGCTTGTCTACAGAGGAAAGTTGTACCAGTATGAGGCAAAGTATGAATTTAAACTGCTATGGCTATATCATTTCACTCCCCACAAGGACCCTTTTATTCCAGTCTAAGAATGCCTTTATCTGGTTTAGCTGATGTCATTTTGGAATTGGTTCAAGCTATGCCGATAAAGCCAGTCTTATTGCAGAATAAGAGTGTCCACGTGGAGAGTTATACCAGTATATTTATAGTGGATTAACTATACCAATAGAACCAGTGAAATGTTCTTATGTAGAAAGGCAAATTTCAGAAGACTACAGGTTCGTTTCGGAAAAGTGTCCATGAGCTCAAGTGCAGATGCAGCCTTAGTCTGGATATGATAGCTATGTATCTTAGGTCTGCAAAACTGCAGGGAGAGGCTCAGAGAGGATTCTTCTCAGGCAGCTGCCCTATTAGGGGAGATCTGCAATGCCCTGTTGTGTCCATCACACTCCTGCTTCCTACTGTTGCATCTGACCTGCCCCTTCCCAAGGGCAGATTCCCAGACCTGCAAAGTTCTACCGGCATCTGTACACAAGTGGTTGGTGTCCCAGAGGTCACTATTCCCTCATTGTTCCCATCAGTCATGGAGGGGGTATATCCTGGTGGATGATCTCCCTCCTGTATCATATAGTACACCTGCTCCTGACTAACAGATTAAAAGTGCCCTCCACAAGAGAATCCTGCCTAAAGATACATTTGGGTACAGAGCAAACATAGGTGGTAAAATCCTGACCCTATGGAAGTCTATGGGAGTTTTGGCACTGAGTTCAATAGGGCCAGGATTTCAGCTATGATGCTGATGGATCAGATGGCTTTTTGGAAGCTCTTTGAAGTAGGAGATTAAGGGTGTTGGGCAAAAGTTAATAGGGAGATGTGCCAGGCATAGGTTTCAAGTGGTCTGGCTGAGCTAGACATAAAAGTATTGGTCCATTGATTCTTTCTTTGCTCTTTCACTAGGTGATCGAGTGCATCACTCAGGGCCGAGTTCTGCAGCGACCTCGCACGTGCCCAAAGGAAGTGTACGACTTGATGCTAGGTTGTTGGCAACGGGAGCCTCATATGAGGCTCAACATCAAAGAAATCCATTCCCTTCTTCAGAACTTGGCCAAGGCTTCTCCAGTGTACCTGGATATTCTAGGCTAGAGCCTCCTAGCATTTCCTCTTCTGGGCTGTGTGAATGAATGTGTTCAACTGCCGCTGAACTCCATCAAAATATGTTCTTAACTCTAACAGCAGTAATGGTATGGCAAAGATGCGGAGAAGCTTTCAAAGGGCAAGCAATGTGCACTTCTCCATCTGTAGACACAGTATCGACTTCTTTGACATCACTGAGATGTATCTCTTTCTGTTTCTCTCATTTCCTCTCTCTCTCTCTGTCTCCTTCTATTCAATCTGGCTTCTGCGTAATTGTAACTCTGCATAGACAAAGGCCTTAAAAACCTGATCTGTTATATCAGCAGACACTCCAGATTGCCCACCACAACTAACAATGCCTTGTCGTATTCATGCCTTTGATGTGGATGAAAAAAAGGGAAAAAAATATTTGACTTGAACTTTGTGACTTCTGCTGTACAGATATTGGGAGTTTCTATTTATTCACCTCTACTTTTTTGCTTCGGTGTGTCGGTGGACAAAGAAGATTGGTGCTCTCTATGGGAAGCTTATTTCTAGCTAAGATAAAGCCAGGTAGAAAGAAAATGGCATTGTGAGAACCGCTATATGGAGGAACTCTGGGATCAGATGGCATCCAACCCTACTCAGAAACACTGAAATGATTTAATGGGAGGAAAGTATTCCCTGCTTTCCTCTGGGAGCCTGTCTAAGGAGTAAAGAGATTGTTTAAAGAGTGTGCTTGGTTAGCACTTTTCATCACCAGATCCAGTACAATGGTCTGTGGTAAAAAGAAAAAGATGCTGCCTGCATTGCACTAGATTACACAACACTCTGATAAACTAAATTTCAATCCCTCAGCATATTTTAGAGTAGGCTATTGTGTAAACACTGGTATGAACATGTTCTCCAGCTAACCTTTGGTAAGACAGGCTGAAGCTAGGCTTATTAATGTACACTATGAATTTCAGGGTCAAGTGTTGAAGCTGAGGACTTTGATCAGACAGAACAAAGTTGTAGATGCTGAGGCAAGCTGTAGATACCATGCTTGTCAGGCAGCACATTCCTACTGCTCTCCTCCATTCCTGTTGTTTTCACTGTGCAAGCAAAATTGTGCATGGTCTTCGTCGATTAATGCCCTTTGTGCAGAAACTATTGCTCATCATGTTGTACACTCTGATAGGAATAGCAAATCCATAAGGGAATAACACGTATTTAATTAGAGGGAGCTAATGGAGGTCATTAGCTACATTCAGATATTTTTACATTGTAACAGGTATGATAGGCTGATACTACTCAAATAATCTAAAACATGGAAATAGCAGATTATGTTTGAGCCATGACGGGGGTAACGGGGATAGAATTAAGTCCCTGGAGACAGTTAGATGTGATCCTGCAGTTATCACTTGATATTCATAGCATACAGATCCTGAGTTCATCACTACTCTCTGATTGATATAGTGGTGTCATTCCCAGCATCCACAGTTCCTTAATTAATTTATGTCTGGTTGGAAAGGCATTGTGTGCATACGGTATATGCATGGCCACTGTGCTGATGGCAAGTGCATGGGCATCTTTGTTTATTTTTCAAACAGATGCTGAAGATTTAAAATTTAGATTTAGGATTATTTTTCTTATGAACTTTACAAATGGAAACAAATCTTACCTGTTCCTCAAGAACTTTTGCCTCCCTCTGTGAGGGGGCCTGTGCTGCAAAAAATTGTCCTTTTTAAAAAAAATTTTTTTGAGCCAGATCAAAGAGTAATAGTTCTTCATCTTTGTGTTGTGGTATTTTATTTAATACGTTAAGCATTTTATTTTTGTAAGTGTTCCCATAATATTTTAATATATAGTTTGCTTGCATATTTTATTTATTGAGGCACTTTCTTTTTTTCCTTCAGTGGCTTTTAAAGCCAGCTCATAGAGATTTTGAACATTTTCAGAAATAAAGCTATTGACTGGACAGTGATGGAGTTGAACCCTCCTCTTTGTCAGTGGGGGAGGGGGAGTGTTAAAAATAAACTTAACAATGTAACTATAAAGCCATATGCAGTATTTCTTTAATAAACCAGATATTATTTCTGAACCACTAGAACTGGAAATAAAAAAAATCAAATCCAGGAGACGATTAATACAAAATGGGCTTTATGATTTTATCTGGGCTGTCTTAGAAAGTTTGAATAGCGATAGCCCTGTTTAAAAAAAAAAACAATGTTTAGGGAAACCCATTCTCTTGAGGGTTGAATTTTATGTATTTACGAAATTCAGTTTCAATATAATGGAAAGTGGAAAAGAAAATGTAAAGTAGCAGAGTCCACTGAGACTGCACTTTCAGTGTAAAAAGGGAAAGTGTGTTGGAGAAGGGAGGCACAAAATTCTTATCTGTTATAGTCCTTTATGCCCTTTAGAAAACTATCCCTTCTGTCTCCAAGATATTGTTTTGGCACTAACCTGAAATCAGACAGGTCGGTTTTGCAAGAACTGATGGAGTATATACCAAATATGAAAAAAAAAAAAGTTTAACTGAGTGGTATCCTTTTTTCATTATTAAAAGAGCATACTAGAGTCATGTATGGAGAAGATGTAGTATGTTAAAATACTCTGTGCAACCACCATATCAGTATGTCAAACTTAAAGGACCAAATGTTCTATAGAGCCAAAAATATGGATAAATTTGGCTTATATCACACGTCTGACCAGTATTGCATAAAAGCTGTAAACAGTGTAGACTGGCTACTAACAAAATCTAAATGAGATTTTTCATTTAATCATAAGAAGGGGTGTAAGTGTAGCAAAATGGGTGGAAAAGAGAAGAAATATTTTCAAATGGCAAAGCGGGGTGAGTGTATGTATAGACATTTGTCGTGCTTGCAATTTCAGCCAAATCTTGTACACTGAGCAAATATGACAATCAGGCTCATTACAGAATCTTTCTGGACTATGCTACAAACTGATCATATATATAATAAATATTATATATATGTGTTTACATAGTGTATGTATATATTCATGGGATATACAGATATGTATATGTGTGTTATAAATATTTGATTTATACATATGCAGACATGCATATTTAGTATGTGTGATTGTGTGTATATGTATAAATTTACATATACATATAGTCTAACAGATGATAATTAGGGTACAATATTACTAATAGACTGATAAAGTTTGCTAAATAACCAAAATCTTTTTTCCTTTAATATTTCTTTTTCTATGTTTATACGATTTAACTTTTATGTGAATGCTGTTCTGCCTGGGAGGAGGGAGTACTAGAATGCCAGAGATATTTTGAACAATCAACATTTTTTCCAAATGATTGTATGAACGCAGTCCCTCCATTATTGTCTAATTCATTGATTTTTTTGCAGAGAAATGAATGGCTTCAAGCTTCCTGGAGGAGAGTTTGGTTTAAAATCATTTCTGGTTTTGTGCTATTATTGTTGTATTGTTCCAACAACAGTACTGCAGCTCCACTGGCATATTGCACTTCTCTTCAGTTACAGCATAATTCCAAGAATAAGACGGAATTTTTCAGACTGCAACACAAATGGTAGAACAATGGTGAGAACTCCAAAACCCTGCACTAATAATGGCAGCAAGCTAGTATTGGGAATTTCCCACGTTCCCTCTTTCACTCTCAGTAAATCTGCAGAACTCAGCAACCAGCTGTGGCAAACAATATTTGTAAAGCAACAGCACCCCATGAGGCATGTTGTAACTTCTTTTTACATAGGAGTTCATTCATTTTGATTTATAAACCAAACTATTTATATATTGTCTAGTGTTCAATAAATAATTACCATTTCTCTCTCTCTCTTTCTCTCTCTCTCTCCTTGAAGATATTTTTGTTGTGGTTTATATGGACTTTCACAGAACACTTTAAAGATAAAAGAAGCAACCCAATAAAGCAATGGAGTCATTGGCTGACTAAGTTATAATGCATATATGTAATAAGTCTGTCTCCAGGTTGTTACAAACTGTAAAAGAAATTCAAATATTGTTGTAAAAAAGTAGGTGTAGGGTGGGGTTGATGGTTCTGGTCAAAAGTGAAGGTTTTGATAGCACAGGAAGCCGTATTGTTGTCAGGGCAGGGATGAACCACTACTGCTCTGAATCAAAAGGTCCTTGAAGAGCCTTAGTTGATTTATTTATTTATTTTAAAACATTTTTTGCTACATTTATCACAAATATGAAGCAAAAAAAAAAAGTCTACAATGTTGCAGGGAAAACACTGTGAATTTCACAACAGCAACCAAGTGACTATTTTGCCATCTTTTTAAAGTACGTCTCAGGAGAAGAAATGGGAAACGATGGGTATATTATTTTATTGTCTATGCATTATAGGCCAGGTCTATGGGCTTTTTTGTTTGCTTGTAGAAAGGTCTGACTGAAGACTGGCTGAAATGTATTTTATAAACACAGAATACTTTGGACAAGCATAGCAGAAGCTGCTTCTAGCAAGGCTGTTTGACAGGAAGGTATAAGGAATCAAAAATCAAATCAAATCTTTTCAGAGGCCTATATCTTGCAGCTTATATGTATTGTTCTTTAACTTAATTAAAAACAAATGTTGAACATGCAGCTGAGAATGTTTTATACACAAGTAATTCAATTCAGTGTAGATATTTAATTACATCACCAATAGAGAAAGTTTCAATTTATTATGAAATAATTGGCCCAGCCCTGCTCTCTACCTATACTTCATGTGTATATATATATATATATATGTATATTTCAAAATGCCAGTCTCTCTCTCTCTCTCTCTGTCATGAGAGAGACAGAGAAAGTGAGATATCTGCATATAAATATAGATTGCTAAATTGTCACTAAAACTGTGACCTGGTGTTTAGAGCTATCTTTCTCCTTTCTTTTTCTTTTTCTTTTTCAATGTGAGGTCCCTGTGCAGATAATTAATGGTTCTTGTTTTGCAGTTTGTTATAGAAATTCATTGCTTTAAAAGATCCAGTGCATCTTGGCTGATTTTGAAGTGATGCCTAAGTATCAGTGTTAAAAGGTTTGTTTGTGAATCCTGTGGCCAGCTTCTGTCAACATGACATGGAAAGTCTCTTGTACTACAATGTATTTAATACAAATGATGTCTTTCAATAAACAGTGTCATCAAAAGAAAGACTGTAAGTGATACAATGATGATTACTTTAAAACTGTACATAATTGTCATGAAATGTGCTGTGGTATTTTCTTTTATTTGAATCACAATAATGATTGTTTATAAAACACAATAATGAATGGCTAAATGTGCTTGGAAATGTGATATAGTTACAGTCTAAAATAATGATTATAACAGACCCCTACAGGTACTGTAGCTCCTATGAGATGATAGACGCACCACAAAAAAATACAGTTATAAAATTTACTACTTGTATTTACATAATTAGGGCTATTTTTTTTCAAACAACCGAGTCTTAAAATTAATCAATGGGAAAATTTGCACATATAGGTACATGTGCATATGAATACTTGTTCATCATACAGTTATCCACTTAGCATACGCTGCCCTGCAATAACGTGTTTATGAGTGGGTAAAAGTATTTTCTGGCTACTGTTTAGGTGTATACTTTTAAAAATGTGTCCCGTAAACCAAAGCACCATTAACAAACTAGTGCAGATTATGGTTTGAGTTTCTTCCTTGTCCCAACATAGCATTAAAATGTTGTGAACAAATGTAGCATTAATTCCAGGCTAAATAGCAAAGTAGTTGAAACACCTATATAGTAATTTCAAGACAATGCAGTGTGTATACATTCACCTTGGTTTCATAGTTGAAGATCCTGCTATAGGTTATTCATTTACTCAAGGCCTTCAAGTATAAAGATCACCGATAGGAAAGCTGTTGAATGGCTACCTCTGTTTGACTTGGCCAAGAGGTCTGCTTGAGATTGCAAGAGCTGGCTGTCAACTTTCTAAAAGTTTGAGGGGAAATTATCTGGCAAAGAGCAGCCCAGCACAAGACTAGTCTGATGTTATAAAAATAGCATCAAGATCCGTGCTCGTGTGACTGCCAACAAGTGGGACTGAACCTGGGACCTTTGAAGCTTAGTTCATGAGTTTTGCAGCTTGATCTATAAAGCCAGTGTGTCTGCTGCTAAGACTGTAGAGGAGACTACAGGTTTTTTCTCTGTAAGTGGTCTAGGTGCCACTACAAGAGACAGTGAACCACAGCCAGGTGGTGTGTGGGTTAGACTAGCAATGTACTTTCACTTGGAATATGTTTCTGCAGCCTGTGGAAGCAAGCCTCCTAGGGTGGGTTGATAGACTGAGACTAATAGGGCTCCCGTGAGTGCTCTAAAAGACTTGCGTGGACAGCACTTTAATGTTGTAGCTCAGGCTGAAGCCCAACCTTTGAAGCCCAGGAAGAGATGTGGATTTCAGCCTGCCAACAGGAGGAGGGCAAAGGGGTAGATGCCCTGGAGCCAGGTGATTTAAAATAGCCCAGAGCTCTTGGCCATTGCTTCTGCAGCAGCAGTGGCTGGCACCCCAAGCTTTTAAATCACCACCAGAGCCCCAAGTAACACATGGTGGCGCTGCAGGGCTGACTAGGAAGGAGGAGACTAGCCCCAGCCCCACCCTCCCATCTGAGAACCTGCCCTTTCCAGGAGCACGGAGCTGCCCCTCCACCTGGCCCAGGATCCCAGTGAGCCTCACCAACCCTCAAAGCTTGGTGGTTGTGCTGAAATGTATCTCCTATCCACGATGGTCTTGGCTCAACTTGAAAACTGGCTTGTTTGTGATTGAACTAGATACACTAAACCACTTGAAGTGGAAAAAATTTCCTTGTATCCACACTTCCTGGGCTGAGTGGGATTATGTTTTTCCACTTGTTCCCACTTGTTCCAAGTAGTGTCTTAAGCCATTTCACATAAACCTGGCCATAAATTCTAGATGTTGTTGCCAGCCACACATGTGCACAGAGAGACTGTAAGGGGAAGCCTAGGTGAATTGTTGCAGCTTGTCTGTGATCACACTGACACTAAACTAGTTAAGCCTTAACTAGTTATTTATGCTGTGAAAGATAACCTTTTCTAGCTGTTTATGTATGTGCACCCTTCTGCAAACATTACTAGGGTTATAATAACTGATTTAAGTTCTCTAGAGCTATGTGCAGTCTGCAGGCTTCTTTTGGAAGCGATCTGTTTTTTCAAAAAAAAAAAAAAGTCCATACTGAATGGACGCTGTCTTGCATTTAAGCTGTGATTACTATGGACGGAGTGGCCACCTGTGCTTTTTCCTCTTCTTTCATAAGAACTCCCTCTTCCCTGTCCACACATGCCTTTTTCTGAAAGAGTTCTTTCAGAAAAAGGCTTCTTCCTTGTAGAAAGAGGTTTACCAATGTTGGAAAAACTCCTCTGTTCTTTCAATTTTTTTTCAAAAGAACGTGATTGCAGTGTGGACGTAAGTGAAGTTTTTCGGGAAAATTACCATTTTTCTGAAAAAAAAAACCTGTAGTGTAGACATACCCTATACAAGGCCAATGTGACAGTTCACACAGTTGTGCTAACTGGACTCCTCCACCTCTCTAGCAGCAAAGTGATCCAAAGTACCTTGTAGCCACAGGCTGCCCCTTTTATTCAGTACTCCTTCTAGAGGATGGTGGTGTCAGACATGCAGCAGGATACAACAAACTCTGACAATCAGGCAAAGGGACCATAGGGCTTTTAGAACCTGATCAGTGGGACATTTTCCAGTACCAGGAATATTGGATGAGGTCCTTGCTCAGGATCATGAAGGTTTGATCCAGCATCATCCACTAACACAAGAAATTGTCATATCTGTATTCTGTAGCACCTACTTGGTGAAGAGCAGTGCTACTAAATACACAGAGTAGCATTACAAGAGGTTTAACTTAATGTTTTTGTATTACTGGCATTGTTTATTTTCTTTAGTTCTTGGCAAGTGCAAAGATGAAATTTGGTTCTGATTTGCATATAGGTATGCCTTAGAAAGGCTGACAAGCTTGCAGATCATCTCAGTATTTGCAGTGAGTGATTGCCAAACTGTGATGGTTTGCCAAAGCCTTTTGTTATCACCCCACCCACAAAATGTTAACAAAGCATACTCACCTATGTGCGACTTTACCTAATAATGATTTGTAGGCAATTGTCAGCTGTGTCACAGAAATCCCTGTACCCTTTCTGTTACATTCTTCTCCTTAGAGTGCATAAACTTATTTAAAATTGTGTGTGTGGTGGGGTGGAGGGTGAGACTGAATGTTCAACCCAACTGCTGTGGCTGCTATGGTTTTAGAAAATTTCACAATTGATTTTGTGCTGAAAACAACTGTCAACCCTGAGTATTAAATGCTTCAAATAACTGTAAGATCAATAATCTTGATAACTGTATTATTAAAAAAAATCATTGACAGTATCTGATTGATTACTCCTTAGTATTTTTAATTGACATAATTTCTTCTGAGATCAGTGGAAAAGTTCATTTTACAAAGAATAATTATGATGATGGGCGATCACTCATTGCCGAGTATGATCATCTTCCATGGGAGTTATGGACCTTCAGGTGGCTGATAGAACTTGTGGTTAAAGAATTAGCCCTATTACAGTGAGGACAGATGTTTCCAGTTACAGCAACAGGCTGTTAACCACGACTAGAAGCCAGTCTCGCCTTCCTCCTGCATCTCTTCTCCTCTTGAACGTTTTGGCAGGCAAATTCAAAATGAAGGGGCCATTGCGTAAGACTTGTTTCCATTTTGAGCGATCCTGGGCAAGTGTCTCCCAAGTGTCAACATCAGTGTTGCATTTGTTTAAGTTATCCTTTAGCAAGTCCTTGTAATGCTTCCATTGTCCTCCCACATTACTGTATCTTTCTTTTAGCAGAGAAGACAGGACCTGTTTTGGGAGGCAATGGGCTGGCATGTGAACAGTGTGACCAGTCCAGTGAAGTTGCTGGCAGATGATCATTGTCTCAATACTGGTGGTCTTTGCCTGTTCCAGAACACTGGTGTTAGTGCACCTGTCTTCCCATTTGAAAAGAATAACAAAAGCCTGTGAAATATAAAAAAATTTGAATCATTAGATGAGGTCTAGTCATATTCTGACAAACTAGATCATCCTGGATCATTTACAAAAAAAAGAAAAGAAAAAGGCAGTTATTATCCAAGCAATCTTCTCTGAGGGCCTTCCCAGCCATCTAGCAAAGAAAGGCTGATGGCAGAATATTCTGGAAAAATTCTGACTAGGTAAGTGGTGTAGGGTATAGGGCTTTACTTTGTGGAAAACAGGTCTACCTTCTTTGAGGTGAGAGGGCTGTAGTTTGGATGGCCTCCACCTCAACGGTAAGACGACTAATTTCCTCAGGAACAGGATAACTTTAGAGCAGTCAGGTGGGAGTTAAACTAATAGTAAAAGGGAGGATAAAAAGAGGGGCAATAGAACTCAGCACAAAATTGAGGTATTGAGAAAAAAAATTAAGGTACCAAACAAGAAGCATTCTTCAATTGACTAAGCACAAATGTTAGAAGCCTGGGTAACAAACAAGAATGGGAATTGCTCATTTATGAGAATAAATTCAATACAAAAATCTGGCGGGATGATTCCTACAATTGGAATGTTCATATCAATGGTTATAACCATTTAGGAAGGATCAAGTGGGCAAAAGGAGGGGGCAGTGGCACACTCAGTCAAAATGGCATTATCTATTTCCAAGTCATGGAAAACTCAAAGAAACATGATTTTTAATGTTTATAAATCAGTGGCCTAATAGATATAGCACAAGATGTTGATGTCTGCTACAGATCATAAAAATCACACTAGGGAGTAGAACGAACAGTTCCTTATGTATCTAACTACAAGTTATGGGGGGAGAGAAATGTGATCATGGGGAACTTCAGTTTGAGAGTCATATGCTGACGGTCTCATGCTGCCAGTCCAAAAACATTCTTGGAATTTTTAAACATTAGAGAGAACAATTTCCTATCTTAAAAAGTGCCACAGCCTACATAGGGAAATTCTGTATTAGGCCTTGTCCTAACTAATAAAGAGGAATTGTTCATAGCAATTAAACGTTAATGGTAGCTCAGGTACAAGCAATCATGACATGGTTGTATATATAATGTGTAAACAGAATAAAATCCAGAGCTGTCATTTTCTACATCTATATCCATATACATAAATACAACCAGAAAACAATTAATAGCCAAATCAGCTGTTTTTAAATAGAAACATTTAAATTATAATTGAGAATCATTTAAGAACAATCCTACCAGATGACCAAAAAACTGCAATCCCACCATTAAGGAAGAAGGCTATGCTGGTCTTGATGTAGGGGGGAAATGAAGGCAGCTTTAAGATACAAGGAAAAATGTATGGCCAGCATAGCTAATGATAATAAAAGAGGAGTTTTTAAAATAGATTAGGAATAAAATGGTACTACAGACTGAACCTCTCTAGTCTGACACACTCTGTTTCCAGCAACATCTGTGATCCAGCATGATTCTAGTTAGCCGGATGTCCACTTATCATGAGTGTGGCCAAATTTCCTGTGGTCCCATAAACTTTACTTGCAGCCACCAGTCCTGACTCTGTGTTCTGTGCTGTTATTTAGCTCTGATTTACCCCTAAATGTCTTCTAAGAGCCCATAAGCAGTGAAAGTGCCGGTCATGCCACTAGACAATATTGACCTCCTGTGGTCTGGCAAATTCTCTGGTTCAGCACCTTGCTAGATGGAAATGGTAGAGTTATCAATAATAATGTTTAAAAGATAGATATGTTTAATACATATCTCTGTTCTGTGTTTGGGGGAAAAATAAATTACCTAATCTCATCATATGGTGATGATAATACTCTATCCATTCCACTTGTATGTCTGGCAGATGGCAAAAAGGCACTACTAAAACTAGATATTTTTAAATCAGCAAGTCCAGATAACTTCCTTTGACAGTTTAAAAATGTTGTCTAAGGAGCTTGCTGGACCATTAATGTTGATTTTCAATAAGTCTTGAAAAACTCGGGAAATTCCAGAAGTCTGGTAGAAAGCAAATGTTCTACTTTTAGCAATGGGTAAAGAGGGTGACCTGTGTAATAATAGGCCTGTCAGCCTGACATTGATCCCAGACAAGCTAATGAAAAGGCTGATACAGGGCTTGATTAAAAATGAACTAAAAGAGGATAATGTAATTAAGGCAAATTAGTAAGGGTTTGGTGAAAATAGATCTTGTTATTCTAACTTGTTAGCTTTTTTTGATGAGCTTACAAGTTGGGTTCATGAAGGTAATTACATTGACATAATACACTTTGACTTGGTAGAGTACAAATTATTGATTTAAAATAGAATATACATGACATACATTAAATAGATTAAAAACTAGCTAACCAATAGGTCTCAAAATGTCACTGTTAACAGAATTTGTCATGATTCTGGGCCCTCAGCTATTCAACATCTTTATGAATGGCCAGGGGAAAAAAACATGAAATCATCACTGTTAAAGTCTGCAGATCACATAAAAGATGGGCAAGTGGTAAATAATGAAGAAGACAGATCACAGATTCAGAGCTTGGTAAACTGGGTACCAGCAACACTATGTATTTTAACATGGCTAAATATAAATGGATATATCTTGGAACAAAGCATAGAAGCCACACTTACAGGATGGGGGACTTTGGAAGTAGTAACCCCCCCCCCAAAAAAAAGATTTGGTGGAGAGATGAAAAATTAGCTGAACATGAACTCCCAGTCTGATGCTGTAGACAAAAGAGGTAATGCAGTCTAAGGGTACATCTATCCTGTGGGCTAAAGTAGAGTTAAGATATGTAACTTCAGCTATGTTAATTGCATAGGTGAAATCGAAGAACCTTAACTCAGCTTTTGGCACTGTCTATACAGTGGAAGCTGAAGGAAGAACACTCTTCCTTCTATTTCCTTTCCTTCTCATGAAATGACGATTACAGAAGTCAGAGTAAGAAGCCTGTTATTTTGAAATTATTTTGAAATAACAGGTTTGCTGTGTAGATGCACACTCTGTTATTTCAAAATAACATAAGTTATTTTGAAATAAGCATGCAGTGTAGACATAGCCTAAACAGGGGAACCTCAAGTAGGAATAGAGAAGTTATTTTACCTCAGTATTTGGTACTCTGTGACCATTGCTGGAATACTGCATTCAGTTCTGGTGCCCATAATTCAAGAAGGATGTTGATAAATTGGTGACAATTCAGAACAGAGCTATGATAAT